TCTTTTCATAACCCGAGGTCCGTTGGGTCATTCCCTCCTCAACGACCAATTTAGATTGACCGGCCGCCACTGACGCGCTCGTTTGAACATTCTTCAGCTACATTCTTTAGCTCCCGAAGCTCACGCTCAGCCTTTTCCGAGCGAATCTCCAGACTGCGATTCCTTTCGTCCTTTTTCTCCCTCTCACGTCGCACTTCCCGCATACGCATACCAACTTCGTAAGCAGTATATAGTCCTTTCACGGCCCTATGTATGCCGTCTCGAAATACTTCGAAATCTTGACGTCCGACCATCGATTGTTGAACTTCCAGGGGGAAGATCTGTCGAGCGAACTCGACTGCCACACCTGGGTCTTTAATGATAGAATCCGCCTCCGTCATTGGTCTATTTCTCACAAAAATCGCAAAACTCTACGATCATGGCGTCGCATCGGGCTCGATTCTCGATCGCGGGCGCGGAGAATTTCCCCGTTATTGCCTGTCCTTTCAAGGCGATCTGCTTCAACGACTAAGGGGCTGCTGTGTTTCCCAATCCTTGGACGTTCTTCTTCCCGTACTCATAGGCTCGCTACTGCGACTCATTGAGACGTCTAATTCAGCCAATCTCCGTCCCTCCTAAGTTGCCTGAATGGAAATAAGTAGGGCCTCTGGCGTGCACCCGCCCCATTTATCCTTCAATTTATGTAGCTCTCCTGAGGCAACGTCAGTAATCCCAAACGTCAAAAAACGGATGACAATTGTCCAGCCCACGAGTTAGGCCCATTCGGCTTCGCAACCTCGCGCCCTGGCTAAGGCAATGGCAGATTTACTAATATGGTCGACCATGTTTTCAAGTGCAAGCGCCGATCAATCTGTGCCTCAGCCAGCCCACGAGTTAGGCCCATTCGACTTCGCAAGCTCACGCCCTGGCTAAGGCAAAGGCAGATTTACTAATATGGTCGGCCATGTTTTCAAGCGCAAGCGCCGATCAATCTGTGCCTCAGCCAGCCCACAAGCTAGACCCATTCAGCTTCCCAAGATTCGGCTTCGCAAGCTCGCGCCCTGGCTAAGGCAAGGGCAGATTTACTAATCTGGTCGGCCATGTTTTCAAGCGCAAGCACCGATCAATCTGTGCCTCAGCCAGCCCACGAGTTAGGCCCATTCTGCCTCCCAAGCTCGCGCCCTGGCTAAGGCAAGGGCAGATTTACTAATTTGGTCAGCCATGTTTTTAAGCGCAAGCGCCGATCAATCTGTGCCTTAGCCAGCCCACGAGTTAGGCCCATTCGGCTTCCCAAGCTCGCGCCCTGGCTAAGGAAAGGGCAGATTTTCTAATCTGGTTGGCCATGTTTTCAAGCGCAAGCGCCGATCAATCTGTGCCTCAGCCAGCCCACGAGTTAGGCCCATTCGATTTTGCAAGCTCGCGCCCTGGCTAAGGCAAGGGCAGATTTACTAATCTGGTCGGCCAAATACCTAAGCTAAGCAGCCGATCTAACCATAACCGAAAGCAATATCATTCATCAACAACATTTTGCTTAGCAAGTTGAGCATAACTCATGAAATTTTATATACGCAAATTACTAAACGAAAAGCTACATGCCCGCATGAAAATGCCTAGCAAAAAAACTATGACTGTAGCAACACATGAAAAATACCAAATTAAAAACTGTAAAAATACATTCGACATCTTAAAAACTATGTCAGTCACCCAGATCAGTCATCGGAATCAGACTCCAATAGCTCAACATCCCCTTGCTCATATGGTATTGGCATAATCAATGAAACTTTAGCAGCAGCAAGGGCTTTGTGCCAGCCATGTTTGAATCCCCGATTTTCAAACTTGGGGACTTGGTCCAAATACTCGGCGAGTCCAGCATTTTTCCCGGCCTCGAATACTTTGGAAGCCTCCGAGTCGGCTGTTTCCTTCGCCGCCTTCATTTTAGCCAACTCAGCCTCCAATTTGGAGACCGCCTTCTGGCCCAATTTTAGCGCATCTTCACTCTCGTCCGCCTCCTTCTCGGCATCCGATCTCAATTGATCCGCGCTACGAGCCCTCTCCACCTCGGCGTCGACCCTTGAGGCTTCCTTGTTTGCCCTCAAAGCTTCAACCTCGGCCCTTCTCCTCTGGCCCTCAACTTTCTTTCGTAAACGACCAATCTGTTTGACGGCGTCGCGATGGCGACGGCCCATATCGGCTATCCTTCCGACGGTCTGCAAAACAAGAATTTAAAACCATAACTTCAACAATATTTGCATTAAGTGAAGCAAAGTCCGAATATGTACCAAAAGTGCCGATTAGGCGGCTAGTGCTGTCGCATTCAGATCTGGTTCCATCCGGAAAGCCTCCCTGTCAGACGGCAACGACACGGACGTAGCCAAGCTGAATGCGACTTCTGGATCTTTAAGCGAAGCATCACAAGAAACCGGCATGTTTTTTATCATCGGCTAAATGACAAAAGGAACGATCACATTCGATCCCTCTAATCGAGGACGTTTGCCACCTTGTTCTTCTGAGCCGGCCTCAAACTCGGCAGGGCGTTTCTCTGCCTCTTCCTCAACTTCTTGGCCGGCCTTACACGACAAAGTAGATTCGGCATTCCGATTTTTTGCCGTCTCCACCTCAATAACGCGCAAGGACTCTAATTTGCTAACAGGCAGGGAAAGTTGAGATTCGATGGCGGGTGTTACTTCAGACAGAAGGGCCTCCGCTCTTCGCTGTGCGGCCAACCTTTCCGCATTCGCCTTCCTGGCAAGTTTTGTCAGGCTTAACCCGGCCATGTCTTCGGGGCCTGCGTCGGGAAGATCCTCTAAGCCGTAAAAAACGCCGTCAAGTGAAAGATCCCCTCGGCCCGATGTGGATGGAGGATCGGCCGAATTCAATACCTCGTCAGACTCGGTTTCGTACTGATCTGATTCGGTAACATTAGCTACATCCCATTCCGAATCAGACCCTTCAAAACTAACCTGCCTCAAGTTTTTGAAGTCGGACAAAATAAGAGCGATAAGAGAATCTTCACCCACCGGAACCGGGATATTTTCCGCCGCCGAGAAGGTCGTATATGTTGGCTCGTAACGAAGTAGAACGTAGGCCGCCCTCCCTTGTTTCTGAAGTCTTCGATGGCCGAAATACTTGAGCGCCCCTTTGATATCCGAAAGAACGGCGTTGTCAGTGGAAGACAGGACTTTCTTCAAATCGTTCCCTGCACAAGCCAAGCCGTAACATTTCAAAGAAGAGGCTTTACAACAAAAATGAACAAATAATAAAAGTGAGAAGGCAACCGGCCACCTGGCTCGCCCCTCCGTCTAGGAATAGGGTTGACGTGATCCTCCCCTTCGCCAAATTCCCAGTTACCCTGGACAACGACCATAACATCATCAACTCGTTTCCCAGAACTGGAAAGCATAGTAATTAGCTAATGGTCGATATCCTTGGCCTTAAGGAAGAAACGCCCGTACTGACCAAAAGACTTAGCCAAGGCATAGCAATGCCGGATGGCTGGAATGCCAAGGTTAATTCTAAGGTGACGGTTAAGCGTTATAACCCCCATTATAATTCTAAAGAAATTCACATTGAATTGGGAAGGGATTAAACCCCAATGGTGAAGCACAGCCCTAAGAAACGGGTGAAGGGGAAAACGAACTCCACCCTCTGCGATTGACAAAAGAGGAAAGACAATCGTGGTTTTGTCCTCCCTTTCCATATCAAGAGTGCCGTCTGCCACAAACGAAAGACGGACATCATCAGGAATAGAGAAATGGCGTTTAAAGCCAGCAATTCGATCTGACGAAAGAAGGTCTTTTAAATGTTTCGCCATACCCTACAGTTTATAAGAATATGCCAAAGAAGGAATAAACTAGAAAGAGTCTTTGAAGCAAGGAATGAGAGAACTTACAAAGGACGAAGAGGATATCGGAGAAGAGAGTTGCAGGGATGATTCAAAAGGCAATCCAATGACGAGCATCATAAAATACATACTCGAAAGGACGTCAAAATTTTAAATCACAATAAATAGACACGTATGAGAGGGTGGGAAGTTGACACGAGAACCGAAAGGGATGCGCTAAGATATCCGCATGAGGATGAGGCCAACCGTCGAATTTTGGCTCTGACTTTTCAAAATTCGGAACCAAGCACTCCAGCCAACTGTCGTTGGTAAAGTGCTTGGGGGTGACGAGCGTCATAAAATACATACTCGAAAGGACGTCAAAATTTTAAATCACAATAAATAGACACGTATGAGAGGGTGGGAAGTTGACACGACAACCGAAAGGGGTGCGCTAAGATATCCGCATGAGGATGAGGCCAACCGTCGAATTTTGGCTCTGACTTTTCAAAATTCGGAACCAAGCACTCCAGCCAAACTATCGTTGGTAAAGTGCTTGGGGGGCAATTGTGGGAGCCGAATAAATAGAAGAGTCGGAAGGTACGTACCCCAGAAATCAGATATTATTCGGCTCCATATTACGTGACTAGGATGCCGAATACGTTAGGAAAGCAGAATAGCCGGAGATCAGTAGCTCCGAATGAATAAAAGGGGAATGAGATAAAAGTAGGCTCAGGCCCCGAGGCCTAAAAAGCAAGTATAAATACAAGAACCACAGATTTAGAAAGGTATGTAAGAATCACTTCACTTAACTTAGTAAACAAGCTATCCTGAGTGTCTGAACTGACTTGTCCGTCGAAGTGCTAATTCCGGCACCCCCGACTGGAGTGTTTGTATCTTTTCAGGTGACTAGCTGAGGATCACTAGCGTCTCCCAGGATCTGAAGAGTATTTCCAAACAACTTCTCCACAAGACTGATTTACAAACTTGTAGAAATATTGCTTGTAATTAGTTTATATATGCCAAGTTTTAACTGGTGAATCACGTGTTACTTTTTGGTTTTGATATATTGAAATCTTGTAATTCACCGTAGAAAAATTTGCTCCTAATTTGTTCATCTATAATGTGAAACCAATGTTTTGAGACCAAAAACTTTATTATTAACATTTTAATATTGTAATTTTTTTCATATGTTTGACAGATTGGCAATGGATAGAACATAGTTCGGGGAGCATCAAAGGATTATATTTTGAATTTTTGGATATATTTTGTCATAAGTTTTTGTTATGAATTTGCAAGCTTGGAAGTTTTTTTGGAATTACATGTTTGAAGTCTGGGATTGTAAGGGATTTGTACTGATGTTGGATGTTTTGGATTTGATATTTTGCTTATGTTTATAGGTTTATGAATTATGTACTGAATAGGGAAATTGTAAAAAAAAAAAAAATTATAATAATGAATTTTTGGTGACAGGTTTTTCAGTTGTAAATTTACTTTTGGTGACACTTTGTTTCTATTGCTGAAGTCTGTGTGAATAATTTTTTTAGCGATCTAAAACTTGATTGGTCACCAAAAATTTTAATATTCAACAACCAATTCATTTAGTCGCTGAAAGATATTTTTAGCGGTGCATTTATATGATGCTAAAACCTAACATGTCATTCGCTTAAGGCTACTTTTAATAGGTAAATGTTCATTTATAGCGACAAAATTTTAGTCTTTTGGCGACTAAAATAGTTGGTCGCCGATTTATTTATAAAGACGACCATAATTTATTTGGTCGCCGAACCATTTAGTGACAAGGTTTCAACAACCGATTTTGTTGATGTCGTAGATACTTTCAGCAACCAAAATTATACTTTTGGTGACTAAAGAAAGGTCGCTAAAAGCGTTTTTTTTTTTTTGTAGTGAATATAGAGTAATGATTGCATGGTTATTGCATAATGTGAATATTTACATATTACTGATTATTGTATGAGTTTTGCATGATTATTACGTGGTGTAAATATTTATATTGTAAGGAGTCATTACTTGTAAATTTTTACATTGTAATGTGTTGCAATTGATGTTGTGACCATCACATTATTAATTAATGTTAATAATCACATTCAAAAATAGTCATACAAGCTCAAACAACATTAATGTGTTATTTTACCAATATACATTTGTAATGTGAAAGTTCATATTAATATTTATTTACCACAACTCATATTAAGCCAATTGTTATGTGTATACAAATATAAGGAACCACCAGCAATGTGGATGTTCACAGTGTTTACACTTCGATCGATCCCGTTAGTGAAAGTCGACTGGCAAAACCATGGTGGCGTATATGCCACTTTGGAAAGGGAAGATGACATGGCCAAGAGATATCCTGAATTGTTCCCACTGAATCTTGTTTTCTTCCAGAATGAAGGTAATTTGAGTTTGGAGGACCAAACTCTTTTTAAGGATGGGAGACTGTAATAACCCTCACCACTGATTACTGATAACCCTACTGATTACTGCTAAACTGTGACTGATTATGATAAGTAATTGAATTGATTGAAATACTAGACTGACCGATTGAAGGTGCTAGTTTAAGTGCATTTCTATCTGTTGACTGTTTAAATTATCTGTTTGTGTTTTATGCATTAAACTGCAAATTGAAGGCCTTATAGGCGGCCGAACCAGAAATTGACTGATGTTTTACGATCATTAGAATTTATAGGATTTTATGGAATATTTATCTGAAAATTGATTTGGTATAATTAAATTAGATTGAATTGAGCTAAATTGCAATAGTTGGCTTAATTACCAACATGCCACTTAGTGGACCACTTAGGCAACACATATTTGAGCTTTATTATACATTCAACAAAACATTTCATCAGCCTCTTTCCTTGTTATTGCCGACTAGAGAGAGAGATAGGGAGTTGGAGTGAATTCATCTTATATTGCTTGGAAATTGAGAAGATTGGCAGAGTTTGTGATCAATTGAGCTTCTAGACTTGTATTTGAGAACTTAGGTAAGGGGTTCATCCTTTTAATTGTGAATTTAAGTTAGTCCTTGCATGTTTCATGCTAATTTGAAGAGTTGAGCCTAGAATTGGTTTAAATTGTTGCATTAGAGCTTGAATCATGCATGCATGTGTGCATTGTTGAGTTTGGAGGTTTGATTCCATGGAAATCTTGCATGAATGTTCATGTTTATGTTAAAATTCATGATTTCATCTTGTTTTTGAAAGAATTGGCTCAATAGAGCATGAATTTGAGGCTTGAAAGTTGTTTAAAGTTATGCATGTCCATTTGAAGTCATGTTCTTGAAATGTTGTTTGAAATTGGGTTTAATTCCCTCACCTTTGGGCCTTGATTTTACAAATTGAGCTTTAAATCATGGCATACTATGTATTTACAAGTGTTTTCCAGGAAATGGGCTCAAAGGAATCGAATTTGATACACTTGAAGTTGAATTTGAGCTTGAGGTTCAAATCTGGGAATTCCAGATTTTGAACTCACGCTCGAGCGGGGTTACTGGCGCTCGAGCGTGAAATCCGTGCTCCCAGCATTTTACACTGTTTTACAGTCCACTCAAGCGGGGTATTGGACGCTCGAGCGAGGACTTGTGTCACACACTCGAGCGGGTGTCGAGCGCCCAATCGAGCGTGATTTTCACACATCCAGCACTTTTGACTGTTTTACAGTACGCTTGAGCAAGTAAGTCTACGTTCGAGCGGAAACCTTTGTCTGCATGTCTGCTCGAACGGAGTAACCTACGCTCGAGTGTGAACCCTGTTTTTCTGAAAATTCTGAAAATATTTTTAAAGTGCATCTTTGCATCCTCATTCCATTCTAGGCATTCCTAGGCCTAGTTTAAGGTACCTTAATGAGGATATAGATGTAGAACCACACCGAGGCAAATTAGGGATTAAGTTACTATTTTCCCAACTGTATAGCTTAGTGTGTGTTCACTCTGTAACTGTGTAGGGTTGGCATCTGAGGACGTGCTCTAGCTTAACTGTAGCCCAGAACTCTGTGAGTAACAACTGTGTAAAGATATGTTCAAATATGATTATCTTCTGAACAATTGAACTGTATTGTTTTCTGAAATGATACTGTTATTGAATGAATGATGTCCTAATTGTGAACTGTATTGTGGCATCCTTAACAACCTACTGTTACTGTATTGTACTGCTACTGTCACAGAGATCTCTGTCGGTTCCCATGTTGGAACCACTACTGTTTACTGATATGATGGCCATCAACTTACTGTTCGGTCTGATAAGACCTACTGTACTGTTTTGCAACTGGATGTACCACATATGACTGTAATGACTGAACAACTGATGTACTGATTGAAATGATTGTTTTCAATACTGTAAGGACATTTATTCTTAACCTCTTTACGCATTATGCTATTCACTGGGCTTTAGCTCACTGCTCATATATATATGTAGGTATACAAGCACCGGACCGTTGCTAAAAGCGTTAGGGTAAACTCCAGTTTTGTCAAGCCAACCTAGGTGCCTCACTGCGAGGTTCCGAGTCCGTTCAAGCCAAGGCTATGGGGTGTTTTAGTTTCCCCCTTTTCTGTTCTGTTTTGTATAGACTGTTTACACTGTTACTATACTGTCTTAATAGGAATTAAGTCCCTGTCCTGAAAGATTGTAAATGTTGTACATACTATTTTGCACTGATTGTATATATGTATAAAAAGTCTTTTTGCATACAGACTGTCACAGCTTATTAGACATTGTCTATTTACTATTTTGGCTTCCGCCATGCCCCTGTACTTTGTATTATTGTCTGACTGTTAAGCAGGCCTTCGATAATCTCGGATTACTGGCCGGTTACGGTACTAAACCCATAGGAGCGGGTTTGGGTCGTGACATGCAGCCAGTTCCAGATGGAACAAGTCGGACTAATCCACGCTTCCCAAATCAATGCCCAGGGTTCCAAGCCCACCAGAAGACCTGCACAAGAGTTCAACGGGGAACGGGGAGTTCCCCCAGCGAACCCTCCGACAAGCAAGTTAGAAAGAGATGTGGAAAATGGAGATAGATTAGAGATAAAAAGCTCAACCTTCTTCTTGTCTTCGACGTCTACTTATATCCTTTGGTAATCATTTGGTTGTCCCTTCCGGCCTGCCATCTTGGTCGAAAGTCTATGCTCTAACTTGCCTTATTCATAGTGAGGTCGTTCTGTCTCGACGGGGAGAGGTTATCGCAATAAATGCTGTAAAGGGCTTCATTAATGGCTGATGTGCAGTGCAATAACTTTGCAGGATCTTTGTCTGCTTATGCGGCCTGTCCTTCACCTGCCATGTGTCTAAGTGTCATTGGTTCATGATGCCATGTTGAGCTCCAGCAATGCTGGGCTTTAGTATTTGAATTATGCATTGGGCCCTAAGTGGTGGGCAGTATCTTCTATGGGCTTACCCATGTCAGTAGTCCCCCATTCCCGAGTGCGGCTTTAGTCCAATGAAAGGAATAAGGAAGAAAATGATAGTTGTGAGAAACCGGCGGGGCAAAGACCGACCGAGGGGTGGGCCGACGGCGATGGGTGACCGCGAAGGGCGACCGAGTGGAGGGGCCGACCATGAGGAGGGCCGACCGGGAAGGGTGACCAAGTGGAGGGACCGACCATGAGGAGGGTCGACCGCGAAGGGTGATCGAGTGGTCAGACCGACCATAAGGAGGGTCGACCGCGAAAGGTGACCCAGTGGAGGGACCGACCATGAGGAGGGTCGACCACGAAGGGTGACCCAGTGGAGGGACCGACCATGAGGAAGGCCGACCGCGAAGGGTGACCGAGTTGGGGGACCGACCATGAGGAGGGTCGACCTCGAAGGGTGAGTGGTGTGGCGCGGGGCTCGAGGGGCGGCGGGGCACGTGGTGAAGTGAAGTGGAATGGACAGGGAAGGGGAAAGGGGCAGTGGATCGTGGGCGTACACGTGGTGGAATCCCATGATAGGGAAGGTTAGGCGTTGGGCAAGAAATGAAGCGATAGGTCAATATAGGGTGTTGAAAAGACAGTTTTGGCAGATTTTTAAAAATTTTCAAACTGGCAAAATTTAATTGTGACCCTTGGAATATAGGCAAGCCTTGGGCTTTTGGTATTATCAGTTTTACCTATCTCTTTGCAAAAAACCAAAACATCCCACAAGTAAACTCGTTCGTTGCCAGTGATACGCCCCTGCAACACTTTGTGAATTTTCTTGTGCCCGCATCCAAAGCCATTCGCAGACACACAATGGAGATGGCCCAAGAGGAAGCAACAACCGCAAGGGTTGATCCGTTAGGCGACGACGATGCGGTGGATTTGGCGGAACAGTACAGGGCGGAGCGTAGGGAAGGAGGGGTAATCGGTGAGGCGGTGCGGGCTCGTCCAAGGATGATGATTGCAGCCGCGAAACCTATTAGTCAAGTGGAGCTGAACCACTGGCACACCAAACCGGACAGATCTACACTTACGGAGGAGGAGTAGGAGGGAATAAGGAGGAAGTACCAGATT